GGCCTCCCTATTTGGGCCTTCATCTTGAATTGTTTGATTGGGCTTCGTTCTTTGGGCTATCTGATTTGGGGACCCTCCAATTGAGCTTCATTTTTTGAGCCGTTTGATTTGGGCTGAATTTTTATGTGTCAACAGAATCAAGAAAAGAGGGTCAGCATCAAGTAAAGGAAACTTCGAGAGAGAGGACTAACCAAGGGACTGTAGTGCAAACAACTTCCAGATTCTATTCATCTTCTCCACAACATGTGCAAACCAATCTAGAAAGAACAGAAATATGGAGATAGAATGGGCTCAAATGAAGTTCAAAAAATGACCACACGCAAGTTTATTCTAGAAGTTTAATATGTGAATCAAATAGTTACATAAAGAGTGATAAAGATTCATAGAGATGGAAGCTAAAACAAATACTTGAACGGGATGATGTCCCATGTCTGGACTTAATTCTCCGAGAACAGTGGGAATAATTGCTGGAAGAGTGTTGAGTAATGGATAAGAATTCACTGGCCTGTCCTAATAAGAGCAGCAGCTGCACCAAATCTAGGGCCAAGTCTTGTTGACATAAGGTCAGTCCAAATCTTTCTCAGGTGAAGCTCCAATTGGCACATATTTTGCCCAGTTGTGAGCCAAGTAGGATATTTTAATATTATAATAAGGAGAAAAGCATCTCAAACCAAACAAAGCAATGAACATAATGTCGATCTTTCTAAACTTATTAACAAGAATGTAAAATAAAAAAGTTAAAACTAGTCCAAGCAGTCTCCCGATACATCAGTTCGACCCGATCCTGGCTATTGCATGACACATGCCTCTCAGTTATTGAAATGGTTTCTAGAAAACAATAGTTAACACAAATAACAAGTGCCAATATTTCTGACCGGTGTTGATGTCCTAGGATAGCATTCGCTCCTGTCCTCCTTTTCCCCTTAAGAGCAATCAAACAAGACCAACAAAATGATATCCTTCACATTTTCTTCAATTACACTTCCCAGCAATTTGGCATTATTTGTCATAGACAAAAACGA